CCAGGGTACCCAACCCTTAATGACACCCCTGCAGTGTGACAGCCTTATGCACCTTCTGAAGTGACAAAATCAGATGATGACATGTATGGGAGATGTGGATTGTGTGTGAGACATTTGTTTTTCGTAGCACTAACTGTTTGTCATGTCTTTTATGTACTCTACTATGTCAGCAAAAGCTTCATCTCCTTCATCAGTCATAGCTGGTCCTCCTTCAGTTGCCAATGTTACAAAGCCATGAAATGACCTGTAGTTCTTGTGTTTGACCTTAATCTTGGTACTCCATAACCGCTCTGCATAAAAGAAACCTTCATCTCTCAAAACATCAAATTCAGCAGTAATAACAAATGTTGGCGGTATACCCCTGAAGTCCTTTGCCATTAGAGGGGATGCTTTGAAATGTGTCAGTGCCTCTAATGCAAGAGAGGTCAGTTCTGTTGGTGGGTCTTCATGCATGAGACTGTCCGATGACTTGTGAAGATATGACATGAACTGTGATCCTTGCAGATGTTGTGAATGATTGCCAGATAAAAGAATTTCTGTGAGGTCTGTAGAACCATTTAGGTACAAAGAGACAAAGTTGACATGATCTTCTTGAGAAAGGATTTCATTTGCTGCATTCATCTTGTATGAGGGCAAATTGAAGTCCAAGAACTGGAAAGGAGCATAGATAAGAATCTGCAAGAAGAAAAACAAAATAATGTTGCGTCATAAATTTCCACATTATTACAGGTACATTCTTTACCATATTGGCAATCTGCAGCTTAACACCAGCAGCATCTTGGTTATGTTACTTGAACTTACCAGTGGAGTGCTGGTGACTCCAATCTAAGGCTGTCATATAAAATTGTGCTTAGTAATGAAATGAAAACTTAGACTAACAAATTATTAAGAACAACTTGCCTCATTTGCTAAGTTTGTACACATTCTATCATGGGATGGTCCCATATGAAACCCAATTGTAGATTTACAGCATTACTGGTAATTTGTTGCTAATAAAAGGGTCAGGTCATAAATAGGGTATCAAATTTTTGGTCAGGTCATAAACAGGGCAGGGAAAATTGCAGATTTTGGTCATGAATAGGGTAAGGGTTTTGGGGAGCGGCCACACACCCCCACCCAATTTTTCTGGGAGTACCCACCCCGTGGACATGGCTGTCTCATTACTGGCTCTCTCAATTGAATTTCACTCACTTCTCTGTTCATGAACATTTTTCAAACATAATTATGTTGTCAAATGCTCTTTCTTGATCAGAAACAAACAGTGAAAACATCAACTAAGAGATGTAACACTTAATTCTCATTACTAACTGAACAAGAAATGAAAGGCAGTCAGTGACAACAGCTTCTATTTTGGATTAGGCAGTTTTTTGTACATAGTTCAACTGCATACCTGAGCTCTAAGAAAATTCTGCCTACAGTGCTTCTCAGAGATCATTGCAAGATAATGAGAAACTGCTGCAGCCAGGTTGCCACCAGCACTGTCGCCAACCAATATCACACGTTTGACGTCAACACCATAGTTTGTGCCAGTATTGAGGAGTCCCACTGCGACATTGTAACAGTCATTGAACTGTGTTGGGTAAATGTAATAAGGAGCTTGCCTGTAACTGAGAGAATAGGTACTTTGTTAGTCAGAGAAATGCAACAAGGAACTCATCAAGATTTGATTACATGTTGTGTTGCATTATGCCGCACTGAGTTGATGTCATGGGTAGTTTAATTGACTCTGCATGTTTGGATACTTCTGAAGTATAATTTATGGTAGGTGGAAGACTCAGTTTGATGTTGACTTCTGGTATACAATTGATTTTCACGATGAAAGAAAGTTGCTGGAAAGTTCAATTTAACAAATTAGCCTTAATATGAAATAGTGTACAATTGTTAAGTATACAGTAAAACCTTAAAGATGATTTCCAGTCCGTATACTGCACAGTCTCAGCACCCTAACATTTATAAACATTGTAAGTCTTACTCGACGGAATGCGAATCAATGCTATTCGTTACCAACTACATACCTTATCTTTGAGGCCTTTTAAATTCTTTTTCCAACAGCTTCATTGATTTTTACAGCTGCGAAGTTGATTCATCAAGTGATATTAGAAAGAATGAAGCATAACGCTTTGCATCCATAATGGCGGTTGACATGAAACTTTGAATTTACTTCATGTAAGTAGTTGCAAAATGCTTACATTTTGTGATGTCTTACATGAAACGACTAACAAAAAACATATTAACAAACTCTCGAGTGTGCAGTGCGGACTGGAAATCACCTTTAAGACCTTGCTCAAGAACTTGTTGTTATTGTTGTTCAGGACTGATCATAGAAATTAACATTTTTTTCTTACTTTCAATTAATTTTAAGCATCTGTTGTCCAATATTTCAATGCACACTACAGTATGGATATATGGATTCTCCAGTTCTGAGCATGCAGTTCTCATGGCTGAAAATTAAATGTTGCAATGTAAAATATGTCTATATTAACCTAAACTATTTGTTAAAAAAAAAAGGTTGACAGGTTCTTACTCTGCACTCACAACAACGACTTGAGCTGAGACAGCAAGTCTGCGGCAAAAATCATCATATCCATCTGCAGGTACAAAAGAGAACTTAAAATGAAGGAAGGTAGGGAGTCCAAAGAAAACAGGAAGGCCAAAAAACCACAGAGGAGGTCAGCTGAACAAGAACTTTTGAACAGCAAAGAGAGTCATGATAAAATGAAATGACACTTAAAGCCCAGGATCGAGACGAGGAAAACTGTGGATCTCTTATATTTACTACACAGAGGAGCCAAAGGGATGACAGTAAGATTGTAATCACCATTGAGGATATTTAAATCTGGTTTCCTCAGCATGCAATAAGGAGTATTGCAATTCCCCCTGGATGTGACCCTAACCTTTGTAGGGTTGCTCCTCCCCCTCCCTCCTATGTCTGGTTGCCCTCACAATCCACCTTACTTCTCAATGGAGGGAGGCACTGTGCAAATTAAATGAAAAAACACAAGAAATCCAGTGATAACGATGTTCAGGGAGGAAAACAGCATTGTAAAGTTACTGCACTGAGTTAGATAATTATATACCTCTGCTCCAGCAAGAAAGTCCTCATGTTCATTCCAAAATGTTGAGTCACTTGAAAAAATTTTCACAAGACAAAGCTCAGGGGATTGCTCAACATGTTTTGAGACAAAACAGTGTTCTAAGAGCAACAGTTAGTGTTAAGCTTTTTTTTAGATTCTTTTCCTGCTTTCTTAGTCTAGAATTAATGCTCCCAATAGGCCATTTCCAAATAACCTTAAATAGCCTCTTTCTCAAAGCGAGTCTTGGTACCCATCCTTTCATATGAAAATGAGATTTCATTCACATGCAAATTAAACTCATTTCCATATGAATGATTGTGCACCAGTCCTCACTTTGATAGAGAGGCTTATTAGGCACTCGGAAATGGGCTATTAGGGTGTCATTTTCTTTACAGATAAAAATGCTTGACACCGAAGTTCTTATCTTATCTTATCTCATGACTCACCTAAAGTACCTACCGTCCACCCACCGCCATGAAAATAAATTACTCCTGGCAGCAACCCTTCTTCATTAGCTATGTTTTTTGCAGACTTGTTTGTTTTAATCACAGGTTTGTATATCCTCACACTCACTCCAAATATTTCTGTGTCATTGATTTCTAAAACATTGTAGTAACTGTTGTTCTTGAATATTCCGCTTGTGAATGCGAACAAGGAAGCCATGTTTGAGTAATAACTATCGCCCAGTCCAACAAGAGAGCCTAGGTAAGCCTGAGGGGGGAATAAAGGAATTGTTTAATGAATCATGCAATCCTGATACAATCATGCTTGCTTATCAATATGAAGTATACTACTTATGACAGTTTTAAGGGTACCAATTATTCCATGAGCATGTGTTGGATATGAGTTAGCCAAAATGATCTCATATTCAACAA